CAGCTAATTTTTGCATTTTTAGTAGAGATGGGGTTTCACCATGTTGGCCAGGGTGGTCTCAAACTCCTGACCTCAGGTAATCCACCCACCTTGGCCTCTCAAAGTGTTAGGATTACAGGCGTGAGCCACCGCTCCAGGCCAGAGCAACACTTTTCTAAATGCAGTTTCATGCATTTGTCCTATTGTTATTTTTAGAAGTTTAACTGCTGTTTCTAAGGTAACATAGTATTGTTGTCATTGTTCCTAGACCTTCCAACCTTGTGTGTTTTTCTCTGGTCACACTTCTTCCTTCTCCAGTAGAGATAACTACTGCTTTGATATTTGTGGTAATCGTTTTCTTGCTTTTCTTTTGCTTTCTGTATTTTGAAGCTCTGTTATTAGGTGCATGCGTATTTAGGATTATTATGTCTTCTTGATAAATTGACCCCTATTTCATGTAATGTTTCTCTTTATCTCTGGTGGTAGTACTTATTTTGAATTATTTTCTTAACTTTAATTTGTGGTTTATCTTTTTACACTATGATTCTTTTGATCATAAGAATTCCTTGTAGTTTTACAACTGAGATATACATCCCTTGATAATATAGTTTAGTTATGTCTGTTTTGAATTTTATTTATGTATATCATTTTGAACTTGAGTAAGAGAAACTCAACATTGTAAGAGTCAACCATACCGTCACATGTAACACTATTTCTTTTCATTGTGCTATTCCATTTTATATTCATACAATTTATTTACATTACAATTTATTCGTCTATTCTGTGGCTGATGGACATTTGGTTTGTTTGCAGCTTGGGACTATTACAAATATCCTGTTATGTACATTTTTGTACACAAGTCCTAAATGTGCATGTGCAAGAGAATTGGCATTGTTTGTTGTTAATGTTCATGTACATGTTCAACTTCACTAAACATCCATGTGTTTTCCAAAGCGATAGTACCCAGCAGCAATGTCTAAAAGTTCCTATTGAACCATAATCTTGCCATTATGTCATATATTTTCTGTCTTCTTGTTTCTCTGCTCCACATTCTGGAAAAAATAAAGAATGAGGTAGTATAGATTTCTTCCAAATGCATTTCCAGTTATCCCAAAATATCATTCATTCCCTCCCCACTGATTTCAAATGGCACCTTTACCACACTATATATATAAATATATATATATATATATTCATACCTATATTCTTATATATACAAGACCACTTTCAGACTTTATCCATCTTCTGAACTAGTACTGACATTAATATTTTTTATATATCTGGCAGGGTGATTTCTCATTCAATATTATTATTCTTTATTGTGAGGTTCAAAATTGGATATCATATGTGAAACTGCTTTGTATCTGTAAATCGCCACACAAATAAATATAAATAATTTTTTCAATAGTTTTGGTTTGAACTTTTATTTCCTCTGTGGTTTATTTGTCATTTTGTTGGAAAGAAATCCAGTTTTTAAAAATTTTTATAAATATTATAAACTCTTTGAGGACAAGTATTGCTACTTACTCAGAGTCAAACACAGTGCCTAGACCACAGTCCTGAATAAATATTTGTTGAAAATTAATAACTGTCTTAACATATCAATGAGTAAATATGTAATCAATTACTGTGTTCTTAGACAATAACTGTAATGGTACAAAAATGATAACAGATGCTATCCCTTCTGAAACATGACATTTTAGAGAAGAAATTTATAATAAATAATAAAGTTTGGGGAGAATGTAGGTAATATGTTTTTGTTTTTGTTTTTGTTTTTGTTTTTAGAGGGAGTCTCGCTCTGTTGCCAAGCTGGAGTGCAGTGGTGCGATCTCAGCTCACTGCAACCTCCACCTCCCAGGTTCTTGTGATTCTCCTGCCTCAGCCTCTCGAGTAGCTGGGATTACAGGTGCCTGCCACCACACCCAACTAATTTTTGTATGTTTAGTAGAGACGGGGTTTCTCCATGTTGGCTAGGCTGGTCTCAAACTCCTGACCTCAGGTGATCCGCCCACCTCGACCTCCCAAAGTGTTGGGATTACAGGCGTGAGCCACTGCGCCTGACTGAAACCTAAACTTTTTTTTTTTTTTTTTTTGGAGACGGAGTCTCGCTCTGTCCCCCCAACTGGAGTGCAGTGGCACAATCTCGCCTCACTGCAACTTCTGCCTCCTGGGTTCAAGCGATTCTCCTGCCTCGGCCTCCTGAGTAGCTGGGACTACAGGCACACGCCGCCACGCCCAGCTAATTTTTTTGTATTTTAGTAGAGACGGGGTTTCACCATGTTGACCAGGCCGGTCTTGAACTCCTGAGCTCAGGCAATCCGCTGGCCTGGGACAGGCAGTCCGCCCATCTCGGCCTGCCAAAGTGCTAGGATTACAGGCGTGAGCCACCAAGCCTGGCCGAGCCTAACCTTCTTAAGATGGCATAGAGAACTCTTCAAACCCAGGGCTACAGCGTATGGCCATGGAGATTGTTTAGTGCCTATCTCCAGAAGGCCTCCTTCTCATAGATCGTGATATGAATGAAGCTTTCAGGATTTACTTAATGTTGGGGTTAGTTCAGTAATTTTTTTCTATTATTATTAGTAGTAATACTACTGTTATAATAGTATGAGATTAGGAAAGGGAGGGAGAGAAGTACTATGAACTGGTACTTCTGGAGAGGTAGGTAGCGACTTGAGCTACAAGAGCCTTGCTTGCAAAGCTAAAGAGTTTAGTAGGTAATGGGAAGCAATCTGAAGATTTTAACTGAGTGGCATGATTGGATTTTAGTTCTAGAAAAACAACTTAGGTGACAAGATGGAAAATAGACTTAGGGACTAAGAAAATGGCAATGGGATATAAATCAGAACTTAAAGTCAAGAAACTTCTCAGGATTGGACAGTGTGCTAGGTGCTTTATGTGCATTATGCCATTTTAGAGATAAGGAAAGAGAAGTTAGAGAAATAACTTACCTAAAGTCATACATGTTATGGCCATGCCAGGGCTTGAGCTCTTGTGTGTCTGACTAAAGCCCATGCTTTATAACACTGTGCTAGAGTCATACTGAACTTTTCATTATGGATAAAAATGCTTCACACATTATTAGTATTCTGCTCCTTGCACATACCATATTCTTTGCTTAAATTCCTCTTGCTCCCTTCTTTGCCACCAAACAGCTCATAGTTCAAAACTTAGTTTCACAGTTATCACTCCATTTTCTGTGACTCTATCATATTTTAAACATATATTTGCTGGAGTTCTCAAAACACTGAGGTCTACATTATTGTTTCTTTTTATGGGTGGGTAGGGAGAGTTGTAGTTTACTATTAGCTTTTACACATTTGGTACGTCCATTTTTTATTCATTTTGCATTATATAGATCTTTTCTGTTTTTTTGTTTTGTTTTGTTTTGTTTTTTGTTTGAGACAGGGTCTCTTTCCAGCCCAGGCTGGAGAGCAGTGGCACAATCTCAGTTCACTGCAGTGTCTGCTTCCTGGATTCAAGCTATTCTCCTGCCTCAGCCTCCCAAGTAGCTGGGATTACAAGTGCATGCCACCACACCTAGCTAATTTTTGTATTTTTAGTAGAGACAGGGTTTTACCATGTTGGCCAGGCTGATCTTGAACTCCTGACCTCAAGTGATCTACCTACCTCGGCCTCCCAAAGTCCTGGAATTACAGACGTGAGCTGCCACACCTAGCCTCTGTTTGTTGTTCTTAAGTGACAGTTTCAATGCCAGGTGGGTAATAAATTGTAGCAGCCAAACAAAAACCAATATGGGCTCCAGGTCGCACAATATTGTGGCAAGTCTTTTTTGTTTGTTTGTTTTGTTTTTGTTTTTGTTTGAGACAGGATCTTGCTCTGATGCCCAGGTTGGAGAGCAGCGGTGTGATCATGGCTCACTGTAGCCTCAACCTTCCAGGATCAAGACATCCTCCCACCCCAGTCTCCCAAGTAGCTGGGAACACAGGCATGCACCACCATGCCTGGCTAATTTATTTTTGTAGAGTTTTTTAAATTTTTGTAGAGATGTTGCTCAGGCTGATCTTGAACTACTGGGCTCGAGATACCCTCCTGCCCAGCCTCCCACAGTGCTGGGTTTACAGGCATGAGCCACCATGCCCAGCAACAACCCTTGTAAAATGACTTTCAAATATTAATTTGGCTCACTTATTCTTTTCTGAATTAAAAAAATTGATTTCTCCAAGGGGAAAAAACTGCATTAATACTGCCAGGTTCATGGATCTTTTGTTTATATAGACCATGTAGAACATTAGTGTTAATATTTCAAAGATGGATTGTGTAGTTTTTCTATATTGAGAAATGCTGTTAAAATGAAGGGAGATTTTATCAATGAAAATGTATGTGAAATAAAAATGACATTTTATGTTCTGTATTTATACCAGCATTTTCCAGAGAAGGTTCCTCAGAGCACTGTTTCAAAAACTGCTTTGGCAAATTGTTTGTAAAGACAATTAAGGCCAAACACGGTGGCTCATGCCTGTAATTTCAGCACTTCGGGAGGCCAAGGTGGGCATATCACCTGAGGTCAGGAGTTCAAGACGAGCCTTGCCAACGTGGTGAAACCCTGTCTATACTAAAAATACAAAAATTCACTGGGCGTGGTGGCACATGCCTGTAATACCAGCTACTTGGGAGCCTGAGACAGGAGAATCATTCGGACCTGGGAGGCGGAGGCTGCAGTGAACCGAGATTGCACCACTGCACTCCAGCCTGGGCGACAGAGCAAGTCTCTATCTCAAAAAAAAAAAAAAAAAAAAAAAAAAAAGACAATTAAATTTCAGGAAACCCCCCATCTTACCTACCAGCTCTTGCAGACTTAGTTGTACACAGAGACAGACAAACCCTTCAATCGGAGTGAATGTGTGTGTAGGGGATTGTGTTGCTGTTTGATATTGCTTAATTCAACATTTCCCAAGCTGAATTAACCAAATAATTTCCTTTTCACATAAACTAATATTTCATAAAATTCACTTTGGAAACTGTTGACTTGTATCTATATAGGAAAGTACATGGGGATTCTGAAATCTAGGATAAGATTATAATGTATACATATAAAAACAAAAGTTTATTTTAGTATTTTCTTAACATTCTGAACTTTATTTGCCATGGATGACTATCAACATCAGCTGGGGGAAAAGCCACTGCAGAAAAAAGCCAGATTGCAAAAAATCAAATTAGAAATTCTGAGTTGCCAAGATCATTGGAAGATTCAAATAATGATTGCTTTGGCACCAAAAAAAGGTAATTAGTATAGATGCTGATTCCACATGCCATAATCTAAACAATAAGAAAGAGTAAGCTATTCAGAGTACTGTTATAAAGACTTTTACTTAAAGATATGAGTGAAATTAGTGATATTTTAATTAAAATTATCTTGATTCAGATCTTTACTGTTTTTTTGTCAACATTCCTCTCCAAGATAATGAGGGATGATTCATAGCCTAAATTTATTTCTATTGTAATACTTTTATCATTGGGACAACTTGATGACAGAAAAATTTCTTTGTTTCCCTTCATTAGAACTAATTATCCTGCCTCTCCTAAGTTCTTGGTTATATGTAAACTAATCAATATGCTTGATTTTCACACTGGTATCATTTCATTCAAAATTGTAGTAGTTAGACTAGAGTTTTACACAGTCTTTTGAAATTAAGATAAGGGTTTTTATAAACAGTTATTCACAAAAGAACAATAAACAAATATGTTTGTAAAATTTCAAGTAATTTTATCTTGCTGTAGATATTGAACTAGACTTTAGTTATAATATAGTGAAATATGATTTTATTACTTATAATAAATTGTAGCTTTACATGGATTACTAATGAGTCTGAAAGGACATATGATAATGGTCTCAGGCTGACTTTGAAAATTTTCAATATTTGTGTTTATAGAGCATCAAATAAAATACATAAAATATGAAAAGCTAATATTCATGGGATCATGTTTTAATGACTTTCAAACCTGTCATTTCCTTTAAGTCAGTGTCTTTGGGACAATGAAGATGATACAGCTATCAGTAGAAGACAGGACAATCAGGTACTATTTTAAATTTTTTGTTTAAATATGGTATTGCAACATTATAATATTTTTACTAAGCTTAAACTGAATCTGCAGATTAAAATGTCTAAGTTTTCCAGGAACATACTTCTAATATTATCAATAGTAGTTCAATTTTTCTGTTTTTATAAATAAGGTAACAATATGCCCAAATGAGAAGGGGGAAAAGTTATCCACTAACACCTTTTTGGATTATCTTCTCAAATTTTATTACTAGTTTTAAAGGTACATCAAACTGCACTTAACTAGCAACTTTCATTGCTAATTTGTAATTTAATATATTAATACCTGTACTTGATTAACTTGTCTCTTTAGAACAGAATTATATAGTGTGTTAAGAAGCAGTATAGTAGTAAATTGTTTATGTTATAGTTACTAGCTGTGTGATCTTGGGTATGTTACCTAATTTGAATTGCGCTGGGTTAAATGAGTTAATGAACACTATTCACATCACCAGTTTATTCTCAAGAAATGATGGAAAGACTAGGAGAATTTTGCAGATATTTGCAGGATGAATTTAGGACAGTCTTAAGAATAACAATACTAATTTTAATAATAGCTATCAATGAGTATCAACTACCAGGCACTATTCTAAGTATTTTACACATACTGACTCATTTAATCCCCATAAAAGAAACTCCATGAGATAGGTTATAGTTATCATTTCCATTTTGCAGATGAGGAAACTGAGGCACAGAAAGGTTCCATGGCTTTCCCAGGTCATACATATAGTTAGTAAGTACTAGAGCTGGGCTTAGATCCTAAATAGTGTTGACTGGCTTCAGAGTTCATAGTCTTAACCATTTTAATAACTACCTACCTAAATAATACTACTAATAACATAGCAACAAACAATTAGATAGCATTTATTGAGCCAATCACTGTTCTAAATGCTTTATGTATGTTAATTCATTTAATTCAACAACTATTTGTGGAGGTACTGTTATCCTTATTTTCAGATGAGAAAATTAAAACACAGAAAGTTACATTAATGTTTCCATGGTTATGTCTTTCATACTCATTGGACAAAATTCCAACCATAGTTAATAAACCACAAACTTCAAATGAGTCTTTAATTCTGCCAACAAATATACTACATTTTCTTGGTCCATTACTATTCTTCTAGACACCTCTGTCATACTTTCTCCTCAAACAATCAAGACCTCCTTTCTCTTGCACTCTCAGTGATAATTTTTGTTAAATAGAGGTAATTTGAAGAGAACCACTAATCTCAAAATTTTCTATGCAGAATTAGGTTGGGGTTGTGGTTCAGTTGAGATCCTCAGATACCCACTTACTACACCATTTGTTAAGACTTTATTTTTCCTATTGCATTATTCAAAACTCAGTTGACTCTATAAGATCTAGGACAACTTCTAGCCTCCCTTTCTGCTCAATGATTTTTTTTTATCCTTATGCCAATACCACATTATCTTCATTACTGAGGCTTTATAGTAGTTATTGTTATAAGATAGCGTAAGATTTCCAAGTTAATTTTTTTCAAGATCATTTTGGTGATTCTAGATTCTTTGTGTTTTCGTATAAATTTTAGAATCAGCTTGTCAATTTCTTACCACAAGACTACTGGAATTTTGAGTGAAATCACTGTGAATCTGTCAATCAATTTGGGAGGAAAACTTATATCCTAACTATACTGAATCGTCTAATCTATGAACACAGTATATTTCTCTATTTATGTCACTGGTTTCTTTCAGCAGTGTCTGTGGTTTTAGTGTATTGCTCTTAGATCTTTTAATATTACATTTATTTTTAGGTATTTGGTATTTTTGAAGCTTCTATAGAATGGTATTTTACAATTTTTATTTTCTAATTGTTGCTAATTTATAGAAATGTAATTGATTTTTATACATTGAACTTGTCTATTGAGATTTTGCTAAATTCAATTAATTCTATCAGGTTTTTTTTGTAGATTCTTCAGAACTTTCTACATACATATTCATGTCATCTGTGAATAACAACAGTTTTACTCTTTCTTTCTATTTTTGTCATGAATTAAGTGTTTTTTCCTCCAGCTTTCTGAGTGTGAGAAGCTGTAATGGCAATAACAATGATGGCTTCTTGCTTTCAGCATAGTTCTGGTGATGGCCTCAGCAATGGTAACTTCACTAATGGAAACATCATTTTAGGAGACTAGACCTAGAACCTGCTCCTCCAGTGTTTCTGATACACTTGATTTCCTTTATTACATTTCTTCCTGATTAAACCTACACTGAACTGATTCAGTATTTGGTACAGAAAGTGTGATATGGGCCAAAAACTTTTACAAATGAGAATCTCAGACTGATTATTGCAAAAGAACTGCAATATTTTGTTAATTTGTGCTAGCAGAAACTTAGAAAAATATTATTGGGAATAGATTCAGAGCAGGAATGAAAGAATATAACTTTAAATTGGCTCAAGTTTAATAATATGGATACACTTATCAGAGATTCTGGATTTAATGTGCTAGCTCCAGCAACTGTGAGTGGTAAAAAACATTTTGCTAAATTGAGTGAGGCTGACAGAAACCTGGACAATATGGTGGTTCATACTGAGTAAATTTAGAATGCCAGGAATTTCTTGTTAAAAAGTAGAGCAAGAAATCTAAAGACTTTGGGAGATAAAAATGTTAAGAGAAGATTTATATCCACTTACTTCTTTAACCAGACATTGGGGAAATATATTGGAAAGGCAACCCCAGAATTCTTTTAAAAAACCTTATAGTGGCTGTTTTGTGTCACATGGAATGAAGACAGGACTATACTTGATTTCTTTTGTTTTTGTTTTTGTTTTTGGAGACGGAGTCTCACTCTGTTGCCCAGGCTGGAGTGCAGTGATGCCATCTCAGCTCACTGTAACCTCCGCCACCCAGGTTCAAGAGATTCTCCTGCCTCAGCCTCCCGAGTAGCTGGGATTATAGGCACCTTCTACCGCACCCAGCTAATTTTTGTAGTTTTAGTAGAGACAGGGTTTCACCATCTTGGCCAGGCTGGTCTTGGACCCCTGACCTCATGATCCACCTGCATCAGCCTCCCAAAGTGCTGAAATTACAGGCATGACCCACCACGCCTGGCCTACTTGATTTCTTTAGAGATGACAGTATCCCTGATAGAAGGCAATTTACAGCATTTTACTATATAAGAGAAAACAGTACCAGAGTGATCGTAAGGATGTATGATTAAGAAATCCTTGACAATAGTTAATTGCCAAGGTGTCCCTAAGACTAATCATGATGTTCCTGAGACTGAAGTGGATAAGCGTACCAGTAAGCTATTGGTCTGTATAACCAAAAATTATTTTTAGTCTTCATAAATAGACATCTGCCTTGAATAACCACATGAATATTCACATCCCCTTATTAAATTACTAGACTTTAGCCAGTTTACATACCCAGAACTTATTGAGTGAAGGGGAGGCCAGGTATCCTTGAGGAAAAACCCTGTCACTCAGCCACAAGTATGGACTAAATTTCCTTACCTTCCTAAATTTCCTTTACCTTCCTTAAGGAGATGAGAGGTTGTTTACCCAGATGACTACAATGGGGGAAGGGAGGTACCCTTACTTTTCAGGATTCATGGCAATGGCTTTGATGTGATTCTGATCCTTAGGGACCTGAATAACTCTGTGTTCCACCAACAGGGTGGAGGTTTAGAGGGGTCAGATAGTAAGTGAAGTTTTGGCTAAATCAGTATTCTGGTGTGCTGAATGACTTTGCAAATTCTCCCTGTAGTCATTTCCTTAATTCATGAATGCATACTTTGAAGGACTTACTCAGCAAATGTCAGAATCCTCATAATGCCTCCCTGATGCTTGCAGCATGGGCAATAAGGAATGTTATAGTAGAGAGGGCCAAGTGAAATATGATGGAATGGTCTATTCCTTACCAAAATAGTAAACCAAAGCATTACCAACCTCCTGGAGGAACTGTGAGTTTTGTGCCATGATCAAAACTTGAAAATGACAGAAAAGGTGATTCCTATGATAGCCACATTAAACTCACCTAGTTGGTCTGTGCAGAAGATTAATGGGCCTTAGTGTCAGGTGTAACAATTGTAGCTGCTACTCTTTACATCATCTCTTTATTAGAACAAATTATTACAGACTGATGCTCCTATTATGCCATTCTTAATCTGGAAAATGCATTTTTCTTCATCCCAATTAGCAGAGAAAACCAAAAGTAACAAATAGGAATAGCAGTAGACCTTCAGTGTTTTGCCTAAGGGCTGTGTCAATTCTGGCTCCTTGTAATAATCTAGTTTATAGGCAACTTGACCATACCATGATCCCCTTGGACCTGATTAACAGGAAATGCCAAATAATCTAGATACCTTAGGTAAGACATATGTTTCTTAGGGGGTAGGAGATAAGCTGCAAGAAAATTCAGGAGTCAATCAATTCAGAGAAATTTCTGGGCGCTCCATGGTCTGCGACATATTGAGGTATCCCCTTGCCCCAGCTACCATTGAGAATGAGAAAAAGCACTTTATGGACCTTTTTTGGAATTTGTAGAGAGATTTACTGCATTTGGATGTGCCGCTCTATTTTTTTTTTTAAACCAAGAGAATCAGAAGCCTGCCAACTTTTGAGTGGAACTTAAACAAGAGAAGGCTTGTAAGGTGATCCCAGAGGGATTGCAAGCAATGCTGCCACTTGTGGGGTTTTTGGTTTTGGTTTTGTTTTGATACAGGGTCTCATTCTGTCGCCCAGGCTGGAATGCAGTGGAGCACTCACAGCTCACTGCAGCCTTGACCTCCCAGACTCAATCCATCCTCCCACTTCAGCCTCCTGAGTAGCTGAGACTACAGGCACATGCCACCACACCCAGCTAATTTTTGTATTTTTTGTAGAGTTGGGGTTTCTCCTTATTGCCCAGGCTGGTCTCCAACTCCTGGACTCAAGCAATCAGCCCTCCTCAGCCTCCCAAAGTGTTGGGATTACAGGCATGAGCCACTGCACCCAGCCCACTAGTGTTTTAATGT